CGTTCCTGAGAGCTCATCGTGAGCCGAAATTATCGTAAGGCGAATTAATTTTCCCCATAAGAAATACAGTGGACCCTCAACCAGCGATATTAATCCGTTCCTGAGAGCTCATCGTTAATCAAAATAATCGTTAGTCAAGTTAATTTTCCCCATAAGAAATAATGGAAATCAAATTAATCCGTGCAAGACACCCCAAAATATTGAAAAAAAAAAAAATTTTACCACATGAAATATTAATTTTAATACACACAAACTGAAGAAGACATGCATAGTTACATGACACTTACCTTTATTGAAGATCTGGTGATGATTGATGGAATGGGAGGAGGGGAGACCGTTGATCTTGTTAGTGTTTAGAAGGGGAATCCCCTTCCATTAGCACTTGAGATAGCAAGTCTTTTTCTGGGGTTACTTCCCTTCTTCTTTTAATGCCACTAGGACCAGCTTCAGAGTCACTGGACTTCTGTCGCACAACATATCTGTCCATAGAGGCCTGTACCTCTCGTTCCTTTATCCTAAAGTGTTTCACAACATTGTCAGTGTAATAGTCACCAGCACGGCTTGCAATAGCTGTGTGAGGGTGATTTTCATCAAAAAAGGTTTGCACTTTAAGCCACATTGCACACATTTCCTTAATCTTTGAAGTAGGCAACTTCTTCAATTTTTCTCTCCCCTCCTCCGAAGCAGTTTCCTCAGGTGTGGCCTCTTACTGTTGAAGATGATCTAGCAGCTCATCAGTGGTTTGTTCTTCATTGTCCTTCTCCACCAACTCTTCCACATCCTCCCCACTAACCTCACCAATATGAGCACTAGTTCCAGGCATTTTTTCCTGTTCACCTGGGTGTTAGTCAACTGTTGTGGGTCGCATCCTGGGGGACAAGATTAAGGACCCCCAATAGAAATAAGTTAGACAGTCCTCGATGATGCACTGACTTTCTTGGGTTATCCTGGGTGGCTAACCCTCCGGGGTTAATCGTTTCTCAGTAATTGTTTCACGTTAAGCCACACCAACAACACTCTCTCCACATCTTCGAGTAATACAGCTGATGGTGGTGCAGCAACAACAACAGCTGACTGTGGTGCAGCAGCAGCTGCACCTTTGGCAAGAACAGCTTCCTTGATTGTCATTTTCTTACCCACAATAGTAGCGATGGTTGATTGGGGTTTATTATACAACCTGACAAGCTCAGAGACACGCACTCCACTTTCATACTTAGCAATGATCTCTTTCTTCATCTCCATAGTAATTCTCACCCTTTTTGCTGTAGGGTTGGCACTAGAAGCTTTCTTGGGGCCCATGGTGACTTATTTTGCAGGTGCAATCACTACAAAGGCTGTGATAATATGAAATGTTCCAGTTGTTGTATGTTTGGAAGCGACCTCAGTGGCTGGCTGGCTTGTAAACACTGGCACCCAAGGGACAAGTGAGGCGCACTCAGGCCAAAGTGGACGTGTATGGTACAGAACGAATAGCACTGGTCGGGTTTTTAAGCGCTAGTTGAGGCAAAATTTTTGCATTAAAATGTATCGCTAGTCAGATTTATCGTTAATCGATGCCATCGCTGGTTAAGGGTCCACTGTAAAGGAAATCAAATTAATCTGTGCAAGACACCCAAAAGTCTGAAAAAAAAAAAAATTTACCACATGAAATATTAATTTTAATACACACAAACTTAAGAAGACATGCACAATTAATACTCTACTAAGAATAGAATACATGACACTTACCTTTATTGAAGGTCTGGTGATGATTGATGGGATGGGAGGAGGGGAGTGTGGAAGTTGTTATTGTTTAGAAGGGGAATCCCCTTCCATTAGGACTTGAGGTATCAAGTCCTTTTCTGGGGTTACTTGCCTTCTTCTTTTAATGCCGCTAGGACCAGCTTGTGAGTCACTGGACCTCTGTCGCACAACAAATCTGTCCATAGAGCTCTGTACCTCCTGTTCCTTTAACCCTTTCAGGGTCCAAGGCCCAAATCTGGAGTCACGCACCAGTGTCCAAGAATTTTCAAAAAAAAAAAAAAATTTATTTTTTCTTATGAAATCGTAGAGAATCTTTTTGTGAAGGTAATAAAACAAAAAGTACGAAATTTGGTGGAAAATTGACGAAATTATGCTCTCGCGAATTTTGATGTGTCAGCGATATTTACGAATCGGCGATTTTGCCGACTTTGACTCCCATTTTAGGCCAATTACATTATTCCAATCAACCAAATTCTTAGCTATTTCACTAGTATTACTTCTATTCTATCGATTGAGCACAAGAAATCGCCAAGTCAACTGTTTCAACTACAAAATAAAGTGATCGGAAATTGTTAATTTGGCCAATTTAACACAAAGTTCAAAATATTCCAATTTCAAAATAGGGTCCAGAATAAACAATGTAGGCATTCCTGGCACTAAACTAACATTTCCTCTGTTCATTAGTTATGTTTTGAGGCTTTACAAATAAATTCCATTTTGATTTTTTATTCACATAATGAATTTTTATTCACACCAAAAAATAGAAGATTTACTGTTATGCAATACTGTAATAATTGTATAAATATCATCACCATATTTGTGAATGTATATTAGACCCACCAGCTGACGTGTATTAGACGTGTGAGGTCGTTTGTTTACTCTTGAATATCGGCAAAAATTTAACATTTCCGCTACTTTGAGCTCAGTTTCAAGCCATTTCCAGTGCTAAAACCAATCAAAATCATCTCTATTTCTGTAATATGTCTTCCATTCTATCAAATGAGACCAAGAAATCGCAAATACAACTATAAAAAACATACGAAAAAACACTGCAAAGTTGCTGTTTTAATCGAAAAATCATGATTTCAGTTTTTTCTCTCATTATACACAGTGTGCTGCAGGATCTGTTTTATGTGGTGCACACATACCACATAGATGTATTCTCTCATATCTAGGCCCAAATGTACCACTCACAGTTTATCAGAGTGAGCTGAGCTCATGGCGTAGATCTACGGTTTGGACACTCACCGTAAAGCCGTAGATCTACGGGACGGACCCTGAAAGGGTTAAGATTTGCCTAAAATGGGCCACAACATTGTCATTGTAATAATCACCAGTACGGCTTGCCATAGCTGTGTTAAGGTGATTTTCATCCATAAAGGTTTTCAGTTCAACCCACTTTGCACATATTTCCTTAATCTTTGAAGTAGGCACAATGGATTCCACAACTGGCATAAGATTCTCAGGGTTAGCCTCAAACCCTTCAAAATCTTTCTTAGTTTCCATAGTAATTCTCACCCTTTTTACCACAGGGTGGCACTAGAAGCTTTATTGGGGCCCATGGTGACTTATTTTGCAGTTACAAGCACAAAAAACACTAGGATAAGGTGAAATGTACCGAATGTATGCGACCTCACTGGCTGGCTTGTAAACACTGGCGCTGAGGCCACACGTGGGACGCGTCAGGACAAATCGTGTGAGGCGAGTTTTTTAGCGTGAGGCGAGGCAAAATTTTTGCGTTCAAATGTATCGTATGGCAGATTTAACATAACGCGATGCCATCGTAAGGCGGGGGTCCACTGTATTGGCCTGCACACCAGAGTCCATGAACACATGAACTGGCGCATTATGAACAGATGCTTGCACTATGGGACCTATCATTGCATTGGAAGTTATGTGCAAACAAAAAGGAGGGTTGTCATCAGAAAAGGTTTGTTCCACTTCATCTCCAAAATCATCTACGTCAGAGACATGTGAGGCAACATCAGCAAGATTGGCATTCTCGAGACTGCTTAAGGCATCAAAGGAATTGTGAACAGGAATGGTGTACTCATTATCACCTACTGTCACCATGGGACGATTTGACTGGGGCTCTTGAATTCCCCCAAATTGAAAGAATGAGCTGGTTCTAGTTAGTTGTCAGTCTGACAACCACGACCTCTGTTTCCACCACCAATTTGTCGTGTGGGTTCCGAAACGTGGATTGGGTAATAACACTCACTTAGGTGGTAAGTACGTATATTTGACGGACTATATGGGAAGCGCCAAGCCTGACCTGCATCACTCCTATCTATCCTTCAACTGACTCATGAATGATGCCTAGCGGGTGAGCGATGTTCAAAACATGCTAGGGTCAGCAGTAACGTCAGTGAATAACAAGTGATTCACACAGACGGTTGGTAGTGAGTCATTACTACTGACACTGGTAACTGGTTACTGGTAACTGATACTACTGAGAGCCCTGCCTTGGTGGGAATCGGCCGATGTGTTAATAAAAAAAAAATTAGATGACTTGTGGTAGATAAGTAAGCCATAGAGTTGATATTAGCATCATATTCAAGCATTTTGTCCTGTCTCCAAACAATAAACTCGCCCCCTCTCCCCTCCTCCCTGTCTTCCATACACCAACAAGAGTCTTCAGTAAAGGTAAGTGTGATGTTAAATGTTCATTTATACATTTTATTAGTGCTTTATATTTATTTGTCATTCTTTTCTGTATGTAAATTTATGTTAATACTTTTGGGTGTCTGGAACGGATTAATTGGATTTATACTATTTCTTATGGGGAAAATGGTTTTGACTTTTGGCAGACTCTCTGGAACGGATTAATTTTGAAAACCAAGAGTCCATGTGTATACCAGAAATGTTATAAATGGTGCAAAGGTGACATTAAAACAACATCAAAGATAGCTGACACAAATCCACTACCATTATAGTATGCTCCTCACTTTGCGACAAATTCGTTTAACGACATGGTCTTAGGAACAGAACTCCATCGTTAAGTGAGGAGAAGCTGTATTTAATTTAAGAAGAAACTTAGTTAACTCTTAATTTGGGGAAGTAAATATTGGTTATCAACTTTTCCTATCCTTAGTAACATACATGGATGTGTTTGAAGCCAAACTGCTAAGAAAAATTGTTCTTCACAGTCCATAATTAGCCAATTTTTGGTGTAACTTTTGTCTTTCATTTACTTCGTTTTTATTATATTTATATTAAATTTGTGCATTTGGGACTTCACTATTCTTCTTTGTTTAATACAGTGCAGCTTTCTCATTTACAGGAACTTGCACCTTGTGATGCTGCTCTGGGAACACATGTAAAGCAGTTGATTCCTGCCATAATCTCTGCAAAAAGTTCAGAATTAAATGCTGCTTTACCCTCGATGAAGAAGAAGTCAGTATTGTTTTTAATGTTGTAATGTACTTTTAGATTGCACAGTACAGAAACATGAGAAGAGAGACAGTTGAAGCATGTGTTTTTGGAAGAATGTAGAATATGAGGTGACAAAATCACATCATGCAAAATACTCTCGGGCATCGACAGGTTAGACAAGAACAGACATAAGTGTGCGTTTTTGAAGTTAAGAATCCAGAACAATGCAGCAGAGATGATAGCTGAACATGGAACAGTGCCGAGAAGCCAGGGAAGTATTTCTGCAGTGTGTGAATAGCAAAATAATAGAGCCAGTTGGACAGTAACACAATAACAGTTGTTTCTGTACAGGGCTTCACATGAAAATGCTGTCACTTTAGAGTTAAAAGGCTCACTTAGCTGGTAGGAAATTACACATGTGGGCACACGTACACACACACAGGCTGGCCCTTTCACCTCCCTGCCTGATGTACAGTAGGGCCCCACCTATATGGCAGGTTAGGTTCCAGGTTACCACTGGAAAGTGGACATCACCATAAGACACCATTTTTCCACTTAAAAATGCATATAAATGCCAGATAACAAGTTTACACTAACATATATTAAGTTAACAGTAGAACTAGGCATTAAAAAACAATAAAAAGTAAAATACACATACAGTACATTTATTACCTATCTTAAAATATTTGTAGTCTTAATGTAGGGTGAAGGTAAGTATTTATTGTAAAAAGTCAGGTCTGGCAGCTCGCCCAGCTATCACACCTAAATGTAATTTATGACATTTAAAGTACCCTAGAATGATAAATTGCATATACTGTACATTTATTACTTACCTTAACCCTTTGAGGGTCCAGACCTCCAATCTGAAAATTGTGATCACTTGTTCTAAATGCTGTTTGCATGTCAGTAAATAAATAACCCTAGTGGATATTATTTATTTTCATATGAGAAGCTTGCTTTAAGCATTTTTGTATTCTAGCACTGTTTGTGCTTTTCTTTGGCCTGAATCCAAATTATCCAAAGTCAGGTAAGAAGATTTTCCTTTAGTAGGTAGTACAGTGGTCCCTCGTTTTTCGTAAGCATTGGAAGTCGTAGTTTTCAAAAATCGTAACTTTTTTTCTTCAAAACATTGACTCAGGAATCATCATTTGACTCGCAGATAGTCGTTTGTCCCAGATGCGCTCACATGCCTTGAGTGGCCCCACACTCCATTCCCAGCCAGTGTGCCATTGTTTATCAGTGAGTGAGGACGATCCCATGCATTCATACGATACATTTCATAATATTCCATTCATTTTAGTGCTTGCAACTGCTGAATAAGCCACCATGGCTCCAAAGAAAGCTTCTAGTAAAGAATGTGAGAAACTTGATATAATTCAAGAAAAAGTTTTTTAAAAAATACGAAAGTGGTGGTGGTAGAGGGTGGTAGCGATTGTGATTGTGGTAGAAGGTGGTAGTGATGGTAGTAGTGATGGTTGTAGAGGGTGCCTTCTTCAGTGATTCAGCAATTTTACTAACTCCTCCTATATTGTTGGAGTTATATAGGGCTACAGAAAACATTGCCGCCTCAGCTGCAGCCTTCACCAACATTATGTACGGCTTATGCTCTCAGTGGCCCTTATACACCCAACAACAACAACAACACAACACCAGTCGTGACATACATAATGACTTATTTTATTCATTCTAGAGTATATTCCATGTTTCTGTGTTATTAATATTGTTTATTGTGTCATATTAGTTGAATTGTGATAGATAAATAAGCTGTAGAGTTGATATTAGTGTCATATCAACAAGGAGGTGACACAGCTGTATACTACTCAGACCAGCTAGAATGTATCACTAATACTTGCACAAGGGATGAACATGGGGAATATATAATAGCTAAATTCAAATCCAAATACCTACAAAAACCTCTCACAGTCATAAACATCTACAGAGTACCACAGTCAAACATTAGCCATTTTAGTGAAAACCTAGGAAGTATGATAACTGATGCACACATGAATAGAGATCACTTACTATTCTCAGGTGACTTTAATATAAATCTCCTGCAAGACCAGGACCCACATGTTACTGAATTCACAAACACTATGGCGAACTGCTTGTTGCTCCCACCAGTAACAAAACCTACAAGAATTACAGAGACTAGTGTTTCCCTATTAGACTACATCTGGAACAACACCATATCTCCTTTAAAATCAGGCATAATCACAGATATACCACAGACCACTACCCTACCTTTCTCATAACCAATCTAGGTAAATTACCCCAAGACACTAATAAAGTAACCTTCAGACTTCATAATGAGGCAGCCATTAATAACATCACAGCAGCAGTGACAAACATCGACTGGCTAACTGAGCTAGAAATCTATACAGATACTGATGAATGTATTAATAATTTTCTAAAAAAGACACTGCCCTAAAAAACACAGACAGATCACAGCTAAGAGACTGAACAGTCCCTGGCTAACACCCAGCATTCTCAAATCCATAAATATAAAGCACCTATATGAAAAACAGTATAGAATGGGTCACATAACCAGAGGCCAAACAAAACGTTATTCATCAGTCCTAACCAGCCTGATAAGAAGGACAAAAAAATTGTATTATGAGAACAGATTATTAAACTTAAAAGTTATATAAAAAAGACCTGGAAAACCCTATCTGAAATTCTAGGAACAAAAAAGATATCAGGAAACAGAGCAATCAAACTAAGAAAACCAGATGAGCCCCCAACTCCGACCAACTGAAACAGCAAACAGACTCAATGTTTTCTTCTCCACCATAGGAAAAAAACCTTGCCGATAAAATCCCAAGCTCAAATACCCCACCCAATGACTACCTCACTGGCAACTACCCGAACACACTGTTCCTAGCTCCGACTAACCCAACAGAAGTCTCCCTTATTATCAGCACACTAAAAAACATGGCAGGAGATTTAAATACCTTACCACCCTTTATATACAAAAAAGCTTTGCAAGTGCTGTCACCAATCATTGCAACACTCTTTAACAAATCCATGGAATCCTTACCTTCCCCACAGTTCTCAAAATAGCGAGGGTCACCCCGATATATAAAGGAGGAGATCAAACAGACTTGAATAACTATAGGCCAATATCCAACTTACACCCTCTCTCTAAAATCTTTGAAAAATTAATTCATAAGCATATCTATTCCTACCTCATCTCCCACAACATACTCAACCCATGTCAGTTTGGGTTCAGGCCTAATAAAAATACGAATGATGCTATTATACACATGCTAGAACAAATATACACTGCACTCGAGAAAAAAGAAGTCCCATTGGGGATCTTCATTGATTCACATAAAGCTTTTGATACAGTTGACCATGATTTGCTGCACATAAAATTGTCTTCCTATGGTATAAGAGGGCACTCCCTCAACTACCTAAAGTCATACCTTAGCAACAGAAGCCAATATGTGTACACAAATGGAACAAACTCTTCCACACAACCAATTACAGTTGGTGTCCCACAGGGAAGTGTCCTTGGCCCTCTTCTCTTTCTCATTTACATAAACGACCTACCAAATGCATCGCAACTACTCAAACCCACACTATTTGCAGATGACACTACATACGTCTTCTCTCACCCAAGCTCAGTCATGCTGGCCAATACTGTAAATACCGAATTCCAGAAAATATCTACCTGGATGATGATTAACAAACTTACTCTCAATCTTGACAAAACCTACTTCATACAGTTTGGAAACAGAACCACAGATGTTCCTCTTAACATAATGATAAATGGATCACCTATCACAAAGCTCACAGAGGGAAAATTCTTAGGAATTCACCTTGATAACAGACTCGAATTTCAAACACATATACAACACATTTCCAAGAAAATCTCCAAGACCGTAGGCATACTATTGAAGATATGGTACTATGTTCCACAGTCAGCCCTCCTGGCCCTATATCACTCTCATTTACCCCTCTCTCACCTATAGAATTTGTGTATGGGACTCAACAACAATAAACCATCTCAGACCATTAATTACCCAACAAAAGGCTGCAGTCAGAATGATAACAAATTTCCACTACAGGCAGCATACTTCACCAATGTTCAAAACTCTAAACTTACTCACCGTACAAAACATCCACATTTATTAATGTACTTACTACATACATAGAACACTTAACTCGGATATAAACCCTCCCCTCAAACTTCTCCTTACCAACCTCAACAGAACACATGACCACAACACAAGGCACAGATCATTCTTTGATGTTCCCGTGTCTATCTCTCACTGTGTAAAAACTCAATGCACATAAAAGGCCCAAAAATATGGAATTCATTACCTGTGAATATAAAAGAAACACTGTCTATTTATCAATTCAAGACTCTTCTTAGAAACCACTTACTCACCCACAACTAAATAAATACTGATTAACTGTGTCTCATAAATGTATAACCTGTGACCCTATCAAACTATGCTTTTTTGTAATTACATTACCTAATAGATTACTCCATTCTCTTAAATGCTGAGTAACTCATAAAATGTGCTTCAAATTTGTACAACTATAAAGCCTCTTATTTGAAATACTCATTTGTACTTCATGTTGTAATTTGTTTACTGTATTTTTACCACTGAATATATCATTGGTTAGTTAATCTTAAGTTAATTTCAAGCCTGCCCACAATGCTCTGCATGCAAGGGACTTTTGGCATGTACACTCAACCACTGTATTTCTTTTGTACAACTATGTATTATGTCCAAATAATAATAAATAAATAAATAAATTAAATATTCTCCAACAATAAACTCGCCTCCCGTCCCTCTGCCATACACCAACAAGAGTCTTCAATAAAGGTGAGTGTCATGTTAAATGTTCATTTATACATTTTATTAGTGCTTTACATTTATTTGTCATTCTTTTCTTCATGTAAATTTATATTTAAGCTAGGGAAGGGGCTAGGGAAGTGACCCCTGATAAGGACTTGGTACCTAGAATTCTCATGGAGGGGGATTCTCTTTCCAAACAATAATCTCTCTTTCCTCTCCCCTCCTCCCTGTCTTCCATCCATCAACAACAGCCTTCAATAAAGGTAACTGTCATGTTGAATGTTTATTCTTTTGTGCATGTAAATCTATCTTTAACCCTTTGACTGTTTCGGTTGTATATATACGTCTTACGAGGTACCATGTTTGACGTATATATACAGTGGACCCCCGGTTAACGATATTTTTTCACTCCATAAGTATGTTCAGGTGCCAGTACTGACCGAATTTATTCCCATAAGGAATATTGTGAAGTAGATTATTCCTTTCAGACCCCCAAACATACACGTACAAACGCACTTACATAAATACACTTACATAATTGGTCGCATTCGGAGGTAATCGTTATGCGGGGGTCCACTGTACTCATAAATTCTAGCGGCTTCAAATCAAGCAGGAGAAAGCTGGCCACACAGACCCATTCTCTCACATGTGAGAGAATGGGTCTGTGTGGTCAGTGTGCACCATATAAAAAAATCCTGGAGCACGCAGTGCATGAGAAAAAAAACTCCGACGTTTTTTTTTTTTGTTTTTTTTTAATTAAAATTCCGACTTTGTGGTCTATTTTCGTATAGTATCTAGCCTTGGTGGGAATCGGCCAGTGTGTTAATAAAAAAAAAATTATGGTTGTATTCTTGTTTTTTTGGTCTCATTTGATAGAATGGAAAACATATTATAGAAATAGAGGTCCTGGAAATGGAGCTCAAATTAGGGGAAATGTTTGATTTTTGCCGATGTTCAAAAGTAAACAAATGATGTCATTGTCCAATAAATGTCCAACTACCCATTCTAATATGCAGTCATGAATGGGTTGATGTTATTTATACAATTATTACAGTATTGCAGTAGTCTGCATAACATTAAATCTTCTATTTTTTGTTTGAATAAAAATTCAAAATAGAAAGCAAGAGTAATATCAGAGGGGCCTGGAGACATGACTGATGAACAAAGAAAATGTTATTTTAGAGCCAGGAATGTCTGCATTGTTCATTCTGGACCTTATTTTGAAATTGTCATATTTTTTAATTTTCGTGAAATTGGCCAAATTGCAAATTTTTGACTACGTTATTGAGTATTTGAAATCAGTAAATAGGCAGTTTATTGTACTAAATCGATAGAGAAAATGGAGTTCTAAAGAAATAGCTATGAGTTTGGTCGACTGGAACAATGGAATTAGCCGAAAATAGGGCTCAAAGTGGGTGAAATTGCTGATTTGTAAATATCGCTGAGGTCGCTAACTTCGCGAGAGCGTAATTCCGTCAGTTTTCCATCAAATTTTTTTTTTTTTTTTTTTTTTTTGGTGTCATTACAATCAGGAAAAGATTCTCTATCATTTCATAAGAATTATTTTTTTTTTTTTTAATTTTGCGACACCAGGAGACACTTCAGGATTGGCGGTTGTGACAGTTAAGGCAAAAAAAAATTTTTTTTGTTGATACTCCTGGGTGTGTGGAATGAATTACTAATTTGATTTATGTTATTTCTAATATGGAAAATGGTTTTGCAAACCAGCAATTTTGATAATAGTCACACTCTCTGGAATGGATTAATTATGAAAAACGAGGGACCACTGTACTATATATTTGCTCATATTTTTAAAATATTGCTCCAGTAGGTTTCTTGTCAGAGGGATTTCCACTTTCATGTTTGGTGCAATTCATGCTTATTTGAGAATGATTAGGAAAGTCTTGAATTCAAGACACTGGTAAACCCTTTGACTGCCACAACCCCAAATCCTGAGGTGTCTCCTGGTGTTGCAAAATATTTGGAAAAAAAAAAAATTCTTATGAAATGATAGAGAATCTTTTCCCAATGGTAATGACACCAAAAGTACGAAATTTGATGGGAAACTTAAGGAATTATGCTCTTGCGAAGTTAGCGACCTCGGCGATATTAATGACTCAGCGATTTCGCCCACTTTGAGCCCTATTTTTGGCTAATTCCATTGTTCCAGTCGACCAAACTCTTAACTATTTCTTTAGAACAACATTTGTTATATCGATTGAGTACAAGAAACTGCCCATTTACCAATTTCAACTACCCAATAAAGTGGTCAGAAATTAACAATTTGGTCAGTTTCATGCAAATTAAAAAAATGCCAGTTTCAAAATAGGGTTCAGAATGAACAATGCAGACATTCCTGGCTCTAAAATAACATTTTGTTTTTTCATCAGTCATGTCTCCAGGCCCCTCTGATATTACTCTTGCTTTCTAGTTTGAATAGAGGATTTACTGTTATGCAGACTACTGCAATATTGTAATAATTACATAAATAATGTAAACCCATTCATGACTGCATATTAGAATGGCTAGTTGGACATTTATTGGACAATGGCATCATTTGTTTACTCTTGAACATTGGCAAAAATCAAACATTTCTTCTACTTTGAGCTCCATTTCAAGGTCCTTTTCACCTCTATTTCTATAATATGTTTTCCATTCTGTCAAATGTTACTACAAAAACGAGAATATAACCATAAAAACTATACGATAATACACCTCAAAGTTGGCGTTTTAATCCAAAAACACGGTCAGTTTTTTTTTCTCATGCACTGCATGCTGCAGGATTTTTTATACAATGCACACTGACCACACAGACCCATTCTCTCACATGTGGGCCTACCTACCTGGAGTCTACCTGGAGGTTATTCTGGGGATCAACGCCCCCACGGCCATGTCCACAACCAGGCCTCCCGGTGGATCAGGGCCTGATCAACCAGCCTACCAGCTTTCTTCTGCTTGATTTGAAGCCGCTAGAATTTTTGAGTATATATACGTCAAAACACACTGGCTCATAAGATATGTATATATATGACCAAAATAGTCAGAGAGTTAAACAGTGTTGTAGTGTCTGGCAACAATCCATGCTCTTCTGGAAAGACACAAATTGAGCAAGTGATGGTCACTGTGCTTTTGTCTTCTTTCACTTTGTCTTAGTGGAAAATGGCTGATATATTTAAAAAAAAAAAGAATGAAATTTTTGTTAATGTACAATACTTTGTTTATAATTTTCTGCCAAGTTTGTTGAGGTTGTGCCAACATGCATATTTATTATCTTAACCTTGTATCTTCTTTTTTTTTTTTCAGAAAATTTGAAAATTTAAAGTTATTAAACAAGAAGATTGTGAATAAAGTAGAAAAGAAAAGGAAGCTTTCCAGTTTGCTGAATGACTCTCAGATGTCAAATGAAGAAGGTAATCTTTCTGAAGTGAAAGAAGAAGATGAAAGAAGGGCCGAAGAAGTCAGCAGTGATGAGGGACAGGCAGCGAAGGGTAAATTGTTTCATGCTTTTATTTTTTTTATAGATGCAGGACCCAGATTAAAGCTCTCATCTTTTAACCCAGCCTACACATATGTATGTATATATATATACTATATATATATATATATATATATATATATATCTTTTCTTTCTTCAACACACACCGTATCCCACGAGGGGGGTGGCCCAAAAGTGAAAAACGAAGTTTTTCTCCTTTTACATTTAGTAATATATACAGGAGAAAGGTTACTAGCTCCTTCCTCCCGTCATTTCGGCATCACTTTTCAAAGCATGGCTTACGAGGAAGAATTCTGGTCCACTACCCCTGGAGATAAGTTGGAATAAACAAGAACAAGAACTAGAAAGAAATCAATGTATAACCCAGAGGGGTTTAATATACCTTTACTGCATGGTAGTGCGACCTGAGTGTAAGTAGAAGAAATGCAAGATCGTTACCTGAAATTTTGCATGTTCATGAACAGAAAAAAGGACACGCAATCAGCCATCAGTAAAACAATTAAGCTTTCGTGCTTAACGCACATTGGCGTAAGTAGATACCTCCTGGGCGGTTTGCTGTCCTACACCTATACCAATAGATATAGAAAAATATATAATATAATAAAAATATTAAATATATAATATATAATATTGCATATCTAGGTACAGGTCCGCCATCACAAATCCGGCAAACATTATTCTTCCTTCAGTTATTTCGGGGCTAATTTTGGCTAGCAAATTCGGAATTTCCAGGGTCGCCACACTAACCTGTTACTCGTTTGGATGGAACTAAACTTGCTGCATATCATTCCAATTTCTTTCTCCATTATATGTTTAAACCTGCTTACTTTTAACCCTAGCCATGGTTCAACGAATAAAAGAAACTGCTTCTCGATTAAGCCCTACACTGTATTTAACTATTAATCCACAGGGGTTTAGAAGCCACTGCTGTTTGCATTAACCTTGTCTATGTTAGCCCATCATGTTTATTATGACGGTGATATCAACGTGTGGGTGTTATCTGGGCATACAGCTAATTTCTTGATAATATCAGCAATAATAAACCTTTTAATACCCGAGATGCACTCGTATTTGGATAGTGACCCTCGTACTGTTAGATAGTCTTAATGCACTGGAAGATAGTCTTTTTGTATTGGTTGTTATCTTCATTATAGAATAATAAGAAAGTAATTATAATTTATATTATAATAATAAGGTAAAAGGACCCCAATGGAAATAAGTCACTGTGTCTGACTTTTTTGGGTTATCCTAGGTTCTCTACACATATGCTGCTATGTATGATAATTCTATGTAACTGTATTTGTGTATACCTGAATAAACTTACTTACTTACTGATGTCAGCTAGGCCTGTATACCTTGTACATGTACGTGTAATAAATAAAGATATTATTATTATTATATTATTATTATTATTTTCTCAGTTGTTTGTTGGGTTATCTTATTCAAACTTGGGCAATGTATGATGGAAAGATACTTCTTCACTTACACCAAAAATGAAAGAAATCAGACCATAAATAGCGGAGTTCACTTCTCAGCCATTAGCGGCCGCTTAGTGGTATATTTTTGTATGGTTGTTATGGTTATATTCTCATTTTTTCGGTCTCATTTGATAGAATGAAAGATATATTACAGAAATAGATATGATTTTGATTGCTTTCATGACGAAAAGTACCTTGAAATTGCGCTCACAGTAGCGAAAATGTTCTATTCTTTAGCGAAGCTCAAGAGTAAAAAATGACGTCACCGTCCAATACCTGTCTGCCTGCCAGTCCAAATTCCAGTACGGAGTCAAGAATGGATTGACCGGGCCGCGGGGGCGTTGACCCCCGGAACTCTCTCCAGGTAAACAATTATTACAATAATGCAGCAGTCTGCATAACAGTAAATCTTTTTTTTTTTTTTTTTTTTTTTTTTGTGAATAAAAATTCCAAATGGTAAGCAAGAGTAATATAAGAGGGGCCTGTAGCCATGACTAATGAATAGAGAAAATGTTATTTTAGTGCCAGGAATGTCTACATTGTTTATTCTGGACACTATTTTGAAATTGGCATCTGTTGAAATTTGTGTGAAATCGGCCAAATTGCCAATTTATGACCACTTTATTGGGTAGTTGAAATAAGTGAATGGGCGGTTTCTTGTACTCAGTTGACAGACTAGAAGTAAATAAGTTTATTCAGGTATACACAAATACAGTTACATACATTATCATACATAGCAGTGTATGTATAGAGAACCTAGGATAACCCAGAAAAGTCAGACAAAGTGACTTATTTCCAGTACCTGGCTTGGGCTTGCCATATATGATTTTTGGTAAATATTTTTTTTTTCTCGGTTGTTTGTTGGGCTATCTCATTAAAACTTGGGCAGTGTATGATGGAAAGATGCTTCTTAACATACAACAAAAATAAAAATCGGACGATAAATAAGGGAGTTCACTTCTCAGTCATTAGCCGCCTCTTTGCAGTATATTTTTGTATGGTTTTTATGGTTGTATTCTCATGTTTTGGACTCATTTGATATAATGGAAGATATATTATAGAAATAGACATGATTTTGATTGCTTTCATGACGAAAAGTACCTTGAAATTGAGCTCAAAGTAGCGGAAATGTTCGATTTTTGCTGATGTTCAATGAACTGTGTAAGTCAAGTTGGTTAATTTTATTAAGTGTATTCTAACTTAACCACTCTGTAATTCGGCAAACTCAATAATCCGGCACACTACAGGTCCCAATGATGCCGGATTTGTGATGGAGGACCTGTAGTAGGCTGGTAGACAGCAACCACCCAGGGAGGCACTACCGTCCTGCCAAGTGAGTGTAAAACGAAAGCCTGTAATTGTTTTACATGATGGTAGGATTGCTGGTGTCCATTTTTCTGTCTCGTGAACATGCAAGGTTTCAGGTATGTCTTGCTACTTCTACTTACACTTAGGTCACACTACACATACATGTACAAACATATATATATACATACATACCCCTCTGGGTTTTCTTCTATTTTCTTTCTAGCTCTCATTCTTGTTTATTTCCTCTTATCTCCATGGGGAAGTGGAACAGAATTCTTCCTCCGTAAGCCATGAGTGTCGTAAGAGGCGACTAAAATGCCAGGAGCAAGGGGCTAGTAACCCCTTCTTCTGTATATATTACTAAATGTAAAAGGAGAAACTTTCGTTTTTCCTTTTGGGCCACCCCGCCTCGGTGAAATACGGCCGGTGTGTTGAAAGAAAGAATATATATACACAAGTGCTTCTGTATTGCTACAGCTTTATTCACTAACGGTGGCAGCGGCAGCGGCAGCAGCGACTTCCAAGCTCCGTACTTTTCTCCAACTACCAGAGCTACCAATGCTCCTATGATGACCTACTTACAAGCAAAACTGCACTACCCAACGTAGCACCCAGAATGACCAAAGATTACCAACAGTGAAACCTACAAATCGAAAAAATAGAGATCAAAGGAAGACTGCAAACTAACCGTAAGCAACACCCCGCTGCCAGCCGAACAACGTAACCCTAAGCTTTGTATACTACAACTTCTTCTTAACTACAACAATTCCTGTAGTATTATGAGGCGCAATCTAAGAGGAAACAGCACCAAGGCCAGCAAGAAAACACCGAAAAATCAACTATTCAACAAGTGTAGTCAGGAGGACGCCGGCCCAGCAACCACCCTATCATGTGGGAGTTCGATACGTGGATTAGGGTAGAAATACTCACGTAGGCTGTTATACGTATAATTACTGTTATGTGGAGAGTGCCCGCAGCCGATTACCTTGCCTCCTTGCTTCCACTCGTAACACTGCCTAGCCGGCTGGCCAGTACCCCGTAGTGGGTCTTTTGAATTAGTGTCAGCTCAGCACAATATGAAAGACCGTGACTCAAGACGGTTGGTCGTTGAGTCAACGGACAGGTTACTGGTAACTGGTTACTACTACTGAGAGCTCGGCGACGCTAACGTATGTCGTCCCGACATACAACTAATACAAACTAGAGATGGCAGGTATACGGCTTGGGCTGATTCTATACAATGTCAAAGTACACAACATGAAACATTATAGATACATAAGTAGAACATTGGAATGAAAGCTTACGTAACTGAAACTGTAATGAAATACAAGGTATACTATAGTAAAAATTAAAACTCAACAAATGAACAACGAACCAACATTGAATTCAAGTGAAAAAACAAAATTTGATCGATCGATCTGTATTCATGTGATCTCGGTTCTGGGGAAAGGGGAAAATTACAAAAAAAGAGTTTTTTAAAGAAAGGAGATTGGTGCCGAAAATCTAGACTGTTAATTTCCAGAATGGGGAAAACATGAACAAAAAAAAAAAAAAAAATTCTTGAATATGAAAATTTGGTACGTAATTATTCATCTAACGGTTTTTTTAATTTTAACCCCCCAACTCTGCTGGGGTGTGATTGAATAGCAGAAGGGGTGTCACTCTGGGAGGATCAAACCTGTACTGGAAACTCATGTGCATTTGAGGCAAATCTGTTTGGGAAGTTACAAATGATACTTGAGGTTTTCTCAATACCTGTGTGTTAGGGAAAAAACGACATTAGGTTGATCATTACGAGTTCGGGGAAAAGTACGGGATCAGGAGGATTGTCAGAGCTGCATTAGTCGGGGTTTGGGAACTCATATGTCAATATTTAATTTTATTTGACCCAAATGCGTTTTCTTTATCTGACCAGTTAATTCTCAAACCAAACTTTTTCCCAGTGATTTTTCAACTCGCGAAAAGGCCCCAACAAACTTTTGATAAAGCTTTGGCAGCAGACGTTTTGTTAAATTAGTCAGCTTTCTCTCGAACCTACTTTGATTTGGAGGGCTTTGACGAGTGTTTGCGACTTTGTAAATTCTGTGTTGTTTATGAAGTGTTTCACGGTTTTCTTCTAAAAACCTTTGAGCTAAGTGGTACGAGTTGCTACGAAATCCGGGGTTGAAATTTTTTTTCGGTTAGAATATAAAAAACCATAAGGCAA